TTGGGTTCTCTAGAGCAGGATTTGACAAACTATGACCTGTAGGCCAAACCCAGCCCTTCATCTGCTTTTGTGCAGCCCTTGAGCTAAAAATGGCTTATATGTTTTTAAATCATTAAAATCAAAAGAATGTTTTGTGACACATGAATTCAAATTTCAGCATCCATGAAAAAAGTTTTATTAGAACAGAGCCACCCCATTTGTCTACATGTTGTATATGGCTGCTTCTGAGTGACACAGTTAGAGGGAAGAATTGAGTAGTTGTGACAAGAGACACTATGGTGTGCAAAGCCAAATATATTTACTATCTGGCCCTTATTTAAAAAAACTCTGTAGACCCCAGTTCTAGATCAAGGACCACAACCACCTGCTGTAGGATCCCAGGGATGTTCAGTGGTCTCTCTACATTCTACTGTTTCCATCTTCGAAATCCCAGACCTTCTATAAAGGGATATAGATTGGATTAATGTTGATAAATTACTTGAGTTCCTTCATTAGAATAAAGATACCATGTCATTCATAGAGATACAATTATTATATTGTCAAATTATTAACTCTGTCATATTAACAATAGACATAGTAATTATATGAGTTTAGGTGGTACTTAAAGGTTTTCAGGAAAGCAAGTGGGAACTTGTTTCTGGGTATGTGGAATTTTCTCTCCTTTACTCACATGCTCCCAGAGGTTTCACTTGCTTGAAAATAGGAAATTGTTATGACAGAATCAATATGCAGAATATAACATAAAGTATAAAATTGTCCATTAGTCAAGGCATGTTGGATCAGCAATAAACAATTCACATTGACAAGAGAGAGAATAACAGCTGAGAGGAGTCACAAATTTTTTTTTTTAATCAAAATGTTGTTTTCTGTACTGTTTTGGGGGAAGGATCAGATTTTGGGCTATTTGGATGATGCTTTTTCATTTTTCAGAAATTTCAAAGGACGACTGGTATTGAGACCTCAACTAATCTAACTAGGAATTATAACTTAGAATAGTTAAAACAAACCCTTTACCTAATTTGAGTGTCCCCTTGCATGGCTACGGGCTTGGTTCATCCAATATAATCTCCTCCTTCTTTCTCTTCATTAAAGGCATTGTCTTATGGATATAAATAACAGATGCACATAACCACACAGACACACATACACTCTCCCCTATGACAATAAGAAAAAGAAGGGGAAATGGGAAAAAACAAGATATAACATGTTGGTGATGTTTAAACCTTATTACCAAACTAGACACACACTTTGAGGATGAAAATAAAAACATATGCTCTGTGCCTAATGTTAAACATATAGGAACTTCTACAGTCCTGTAGGCATTGTGTTCACTGGTGAAGGGAAGCAAAAACCGACTTACGACCATTATATACTACATTCTCTGAAGTTACAGAGTAATACGAAATCCTATAAAGCGTCTAAAATTTAGATACCATCAGAAGCCACTTCTCAATTTGCAAGCCTTCTGACCAGACACTGTGCATTCAAGAATTATTTTATTACTAATTGCCTTGTAACAAAACATTATTGGAGTTCTGGTTAACCCCATTTGGACTTGGGTTCAGGCTCAAATTCTACATGTCAGCTCTTTTCCCCAGCACGTGGTAGATGTTTCTGTGGTATGGAAAATAATTTCTAAACTCCCGTGAGCTTTTCAAATTCTACCAAACAAATAAATAAACTCAGCTCTGGGAAGTAGCTGTTAAAATACTACGCTCTTCATTCATAACAAACCCTTCTGGCTCTGGCAGGAAGAAGAACCAGACCTTAGCCATTGAAAGGACGTCTATCTTTTTTCATGGCAGGTTGGATGGGTCCCCACTCCATTTCTACCTTCTCTGCCAGAGTTCTTTCGCTCCAAAGAGAAGGGAAGGGAGCACTAAGGCCATATGCTGGGCTGAGTTATAGTAATACTGAAGATGCAAGGGAAATATTACATTTTGGCTTTAGGGCTATGCTAAGTTATGGAAAGCGTAAAAGGAATTAAATTTATGTTCCCTATCTTCCATTTAAGATTCTAGAGCAACCTGCCTTTATGTGTAAAAGATTAATTTTAGCCCTTTTAAGTCCAGGAGCCTCTTAACCTGGGAAATAACCTGTGACTCTCTAAGAGAAGGCTCTGGCCTTCTGGGGTTCCTCCAAAAAGGGACTACTAGGTACACTCAGCGGTAATTCCCCAGGCAGCACCGGGGAGTGGAGGAAGCCATCATTATGCATCATGCTTTCTAGAATGGTTAACTAAAGCCCTGAGGAGGAAAGACGAATAATCTCACTGAGTAAAGTGAGGGTCTGCTTCCCTTCCCCAAGAACTGACTTCCAGGGCTTCTTTTTCAGCCAACTCTCCAATGGCTCTAGCTAATGAAACACTTATCCAGAGAAAGAACACTCCGTCAGCCTCTCCTCGAGCTGCTTACCCAGTAGAGCACATCTGTCCAACCCTCCATGGTGATGCACTGAAACACGGTGAGCATGGCAAAGGCAAAGTTATCAAAGTTGGTGATGCCTCCATTTGGGCCAACCCAGCCACTCCTACACTCCGTGCCATTGGCAGAACACTGGCGTCCATTCCCTGAGAACGCACACGGTGCTGGGTCCTCTTCAGCTACGACATCTGCAAACAGAGCAAGAAGGCTTCACCACTGGAGACGAACATCAGGAAAACCAAGCCTGTGGAAGCTGAGTACCCTTGCCAGAGCCTAGAATGCCTGACCACCCATCTATGCTATCTCAGAATCCAACTTGTCCTTCAAGGTCCACTTCAAATAGTCCCCCCTCCGTGGAATTTGCCATTTCCTTTACTCAGAATTTATTGCTCCATCCTCACTCGTAGTACTTTTCTTAAGCCTATATAGAACAATACTATTGATTCGCCTCAGGTTCTAGTTTTTGGGTTCCCTCATCTTGTTTGCCAGAGCACATTACATAGGAAATCAGGATAGAAAAGGAGATTAAGTTTTCATTTGTTCTGAACATGATTCACACTAAGAACCGCCTCAATAAATTTACTAGTACATTTGGCTTTTTTTCTCATTTTGTTTTAGATTTTTCCAAAACCACAAAAGTTGTTTTGGGGAAAATCAAATTTTTTTTGAAGTTAGGTTACTACCATTTTCATTACTCACCTGAGTCAGCAAAAAAACATGTTTTGTGCATTTTTCCAATAAAAAGTTCCAATCCTATAATAGCATAGATTATGATTACAAATAATACCAAAAGGGCTATGTGAAGGAGGGGGACCATGGCTTTTATAATGGAGTTCAGGACAACTTGTAAACCTAGGAGAAAGAGAAATAAGTTTGTGAATCAGGAAGATACTTCAATGTTGCATACATATAATTCCTAATGACACCTGCTCTATACATGATACATAGTAATTAAATTCAAAGATATTTTCAGAGTTTTTAATTAACATTAAACCTGGACATAAGTTAAAAAGGAACCTTAAAGATTACCTAATCCAAATTCCTCACTTGACAGATGGAATAAGTAAGGCCTAGAGAGGGGACTATCCGATATCAAAGTCAATCATTTGTACATGCGTTCAACAAAATTCCTTGAACATCTACTATGTGGCAAGCATAAGGTTTAGTACTTTGGGAGATACGAGGTTGTATTACATAAAGTGCCTTCCCTAAGAAGTTGTGCTCTAGAAGTAGACATAAGAATTAAACATAAAGTTAACGTAGCACACAGATGCTATGTGAGTAATATCAAACAGTTACAGTTAAAGAGGGATGAAAACATCGCTTCTGAGTGGGAAGAAGAAAGAGCACTGGGCAACAGCCTTCCTCTAAGCAGGGCCTGAGGCTGAGGAGGGTAGATTTCCACAGGTGGGCAGAGGAGAGGCTATGCTGGGCAGAGGGAAGAGAACACCAAAAGCACAGAAATGAGCCAGTGCGACATGGGCTGGGGCAGTGAGTCTTGGCTGGTAGACATGCAGTGGAGAAGACTATCTGGAAAGGAAAGAAGACTGCAGCTAAGTAGCTCTGCATTTTGAATTTGAGTTACAGGGCCAGACTTTAATCCATCAGCAAAAGGCAGCCTCTTTAGAAAGATGGACAGGGCAGCAGTAGACAAGACCAGTGGAGAAGTAGTTGGGAAGTGCTGGGCTCTCCAGGTAGGACAGGGTGAGGATCAGGATGAGACCAGAACCTAGCAACTGAGTTTGAGAGAGAGGAAGGTACCCGTGGAGGCGGTCATGGGGCAAATCCTAAGGCCTGAACAACAACAACAAAAAATCATATCAAAAGGAGGTTCTCCTGGAATGAGGGAGGTAGGAGATGGGCAGGAGAAGGAGAGAGAGAGATAATGGAAAGAGAAATGGTGGGCTAACGCTCAGGATTAGGACTGGGTGGAAGGAAGCAGAAGACTAAGGGACAGTGGTCAGCAGATAACCAGAACCCATACTAGAAACAGGCTTCCTGACTCCCATGTGCCATGTCCTACATTCTTTCCCATGACCGCAGCTTCTGCTCTGTGTAGTTCACTCTTTTCCTCTTTCTTCTTTCTCTTTCC